CCCGTGAATCTCTGATTCGCGGGAAGCAGGGGAGGGGGCGGGGCGTGCAGGGGAGGGGAGGAGGGGGAAGTGAGCTGGGGGCGGGGCGGACAGCTGCAGCGCGGGGCCCTCTTGGTGCGGGGCCCTCTTGGCGCGGGGCCCAATTCAGCTGAATCGGCCTAAAGCCGGCCCTGTCCCTAGGTAACCCATTCCAGTGCTTCACCACCTTCCTAGTGAAAAAGTTTTTCCTAATATCCAACCTAAACCTCCCCCACTGCAACTTGAGACCATTACTCCTTGTTCGGTCATCTGGTACCACTGAGAACAGTCTAGATCCAGCCTCATTGGAACCTCCTTTCAGGTAGTTGAAAGCAGCTATCAAATCCCCTCTCATTCTTGTCTTTTGCAGACTAAACAATCTCAATTCCCTCAGCCTCTCCTCATAACTCATGTGCTCCAGCCCCCTAATCATTTGTCCACTTCTAAAGACTGGACAGAGTCAACTGAGACCTCACGAGGAGCAAGTGCCTCCCATGTCTTATATACAACACTCCTACTAATAGACCCCAGAATGACATTGGTCTTTTTTGCAACAGCATTGCATTCTTCACCCATAATCATTGATTAAAAGTCTCCAAGTGATACAGAATCCACCCCATCTGGGGGTTAATTATTCTAATGGTTAATCCACCTCCCAATTAGACATTTGCATTTTATTTCTAGCACGAATTTGTCTAGCTTTAGCTCCCAGCTATTGCATTTCAGCCTGCCCTCTTCTGTCAGAAATATCCCCCTGGATGTGCTTATAGACGGTGATCAAGTCACCCTTACCTTTGATAAGTTACATAAAATGAGCTTCAGTCTCTCACTTTCCACCTTCTTCCTCCTACGCAACATCCCTCTGCTTATAAATGAGCTCTCTGAGACTATGCCTTCACTCAGGCCAACTCCTCTGGAGTTAGTCTAGCTTGAGTGAGAGCAGCTACAGTATGAAATAAAATTGGAGCTGCAGAGTGATTGGATTACTGCACAGAGTGATTGGGTAGGTCTATATGGGAGCTGGAGGTGTAATTTCCAGCTCAAGTAGACATACTCACACTAGTTCATGGTAAAAATAGCAATGTACAGTAACTCCTCACTTATCGTGGTAGTTATGTTCCTGAAAAATGCAACTTTATGCCAAATGATAAGTGAATCCAATTTCCCAATAAGAATTAATGTAAATGGGGGGGTTAGGTTACAGGGAAATTTTTTTCACCAGACAAAAGACATTATATATAGTATAAGTTTTAAACAAACAGTTCAATATTGTACACAGCAGTGAATGAGTGTGAAGCTTGTTTGAGGTGGTGGAGTTAGAGGGTGGACTATTTCCCAGGGAATGCCTTGCTGCTAAATGATGAACTAGCACTCGGCTGAGCCCTCAAGGGTTAATATGCTGTTAATGTAGCCTCACACTCTACGAGGCAGCATGGACTGAGGCAGGAGGGAGGAAACACAATAGATGCAGAGCAGTAGCTGCAAACACTTCCATGCAAAAACTGAACATGATGATGAGCCCACACTCTCCCGCTGTAGCGCACCACTCCCTCCTCCTGACAGCACATGCACAGCTTCACAGGTGCTGACTTTCCAAAGTGCTGGGGGGGGGGGGTGCGTGCATGAGTGAGAGAGATGTATATTGCCCCTTTACGTATGCTGACCTGACTTCAAGTATATTGCCCGTTTAAGCAGATCAGACCGGAAGCAACAGCTTCCTCCTTTCTATTCCTGAGCCATGTCACCCTCCGCTTTGTGGAGAGGGGGTACAGAGTGGGGGTGGGGGGCAGGAGCAGGGGGACATCCTGATATCAGCACCCTTCCTTCCCCCTCCCCCAGCAAACCAGAAGCTCCCGGGAGCAGCTCCAAGGCAGAGGGCAGGGTAGGAACAGCAGGGCAGTGGGGGGAGGGACAGCTGAACTGCTGCTGGGCAGTTGCGGAGCCACATTCCTTACAGGGAATTTAGGGGAGCTGATAGGGGGGAGGCTGCTGCTCCCCCCCCCCCCCCGGGTTCTAATCCCCACAAGGAGGGGCTGCTCTTCCAGAGAATCCTGCAAGCAGTGGACAAAGGAGGCAGCAGCTGCCAGACGATGTCATAAGGGAGCATTGTGCAACTTTAAACAAGTATGTTCCCTAATTGATCAGCAACGAAACAATATTAACTGGGACGACTTTAAGTGAGGAGTTACTGTAGCTGCACCTACTGAGGCTCTTGGGGAAGCCCACCCACAACCAACAGCCCCTCTCTAGCATAAGGGGAGGAGCTACCAGACCCAGGTCTCAACTGAATGTGGGGGACAACAAATGAAAAAACAGGGACAGGAGCAAAGGTCACAGAGTCAAAAGCAGGGGGACACCAAGAAGAGAACGCTAGCCAGCACCCACTGCTCCTTAAGGCATCCAAGGAACCAATGGATATGGCCCACAGGAACTCTGCCCGGAGACGTGACTTCAGGGACAATCGGAAATAGGTCCCAGTCACAGACCACTTGCACATCTAGCTTTCTCCTCCTGGTATGGCCGATGCCAGGAGGAGGTTGATGGGAGGTCTCGCGTCTTCGTGGGGTCACAGGTGGGGTATGCATATATCAGGAGATGAGGGGGAAGGTGTGGTTAGAATATGAGGAGGTTCTGGAAGAGCCAGAAAAGGGGCTGCAACCTGGTACACTCAAGGTAGATGTTTGCCAAGATCTCCCCCTCAACGCCAAAGGAGCAAGTGTCAGGGGCGGTGGTGAAGCACACATGCTCAGGGCTATGTGAAA